GTTGGGGCTGCATCGACCATATCTTCACTTTGCGTCAATTGCTAGAGCACCGCCATGTTTATTGGCGGCCCACTGTTTTCGTGTTTCTTGACATAATAGGTACCTTCGATTCAGTCGACCAATGTGCCCTTTGGGACTGTCTGCTGAGGAAAGGTGTACCTAATAAATAATTAAAGCCTATTAAAGCGCTGTACACGCATAGTTCGGACCGGATGAGGGTTTATGGTAAACTGTCGCCACCGATCAGTATCACCAGCAGTGTGGGACAAGGTTGCTAGCTGTCACCTTTCCTATTTAACTTCGCGATTGACGAAGTCATGGAAACGGCATTCGCTGAACACGACATAGGTGTGGAGCTACTTCCTGGTGAGCGATTTCTTGACTTGGAGTATGCGGATGATATTACCTTGATCTGGAACAGCACCCAAACATGCCAAGCAGCACTGGACCGAATAGCACTGGCCGTCTATCGTTTTGGTCTATGCTTTGCTCCATCGAAATGCAAACTTCTCCAAGATTGGCAGGAACACACCCCAAGCTAACGCTTTGTGGTGAGCAGCTAGAAGTCGTTCTGGCATTCATGTATCTGGGCAGCTATATTAGCGCCCGTGAGATCCAATATGAGGTTACGAACCGTGTAGCAAAAGCTCGAGGTGCTTTTGCCAATCTCCGCCGCCTGTGGCGCAGACGCGACATCACTCGCCCTGAAGGGCGGAGTTTGTATCGCAGCCGTCTGTTCAACTCTCCTGTATGGTTGTGAAACCTGGTCCATCAGGTCGACAGATATAGAGAGGCTCATCACATTCAACCATCGCTGCCTTCGCAGCTTAGCTCATGTCTGGTGGGAACACCGCGTGAGCAATGAACATGTTCGGCTTCGCGTATTTGGTGCCGGAAGAGCGAAGGAACCGTTCAACATTATTATTTCACGCATCAGGCTCGGATAGCTCGGTCACGTGTTACGCAGGCCAGCACACCTACTCCCGCGACGTGCATTGTTTGCTCGTCGGGGGTGCGGTTGGAAGAAGAGTAGGTTACGCCAAGCGCTGACTTGGTCGCACGGAGTGACTACCTTCACTTCGAAACTGACATCGGTTGGTGCATCTCGACTGTCTGGCTGAAGTCCTAAGGACGACGAACACGTTTGGATATGACGAAGAGCCGGCCTAAATGTCGTTTGTGTTGTGATTTTCCTTGTCCTTCCTCCCTTTAGGTTCCCCTACCAATCCCGGTTTCACGCAGAACTCATAATAAAGCATTTGGCATCATATCTTTTGTCGTGTAATTTTTAGTCTCTTGTCTTTTAGTATTGCGGCACATTAACTGAGGTGTTTCTCTTCCTCGGTTAACATGTACTGATGATGGTGATGAATACGCGCTCTTCGACAGATGGATGCACATCGTTTTCTGTATCATTGATAATGATCTTTATCTAAAGACGTCAGCTTTCACTGCGACCCGTATCTAACATTGGTCAATGACAAGCCACTTCTGAGGAACCCTTTCAACGTACATACTGCTTCTGCGCAAGCCGTCTCTAACTCGGACAGCGTGACACCTATCTCATCAGCGTGTCTATCCGGGTCTGGATATTTTATACTGAAAAGGAAAAGAAGCTGAGAATCCTCCACTACATTGGACTTAACACCGTTGCTCAGTGAGAACGGGAATGGGCTGATGGATAAGCCTAAGTCCTGTGCTGCAGTCGCGAGTGCCAGCACCTCAACAAAAGCAAGGATAACTATCATCATCATCATCATCATCATCATCATCATCATCATCATCATCATCATCATCATCATCATCATCATCATCATCATCATCATCATCATCATCATCATCATCATCATCATCATCATCATCATCATCATCATCATCATCATCATCATCATCATCATCATCATCATCATCATCATCATCATCATCATCATCATCATCATCATCATCATCATCATCATCATCATCATCATCATCATCATCATCATCATCATCATCATCATCATCATCATCATCATCATCATCATCATCATCATCATCATCATCATCATCATCATCATCATCATCATCATCATCATCATCATCATCATCATCATCATCATCATCATCATCATCATCATCATCATCATCATCATCATCATCATCATCATCATCATCATCATCATCATCATCATCATCATCATCATCATCATCATCATCATCATCATCATCATCATCATCATCATCATCATCATCATCATCATCATCATCATCATCATCATCATCATCATCATCATCATCATCATCATCATCATCATCATCATCATCATCATCATCATCATCATCATCATCATCATCATCATCATCATCATCATCATCATCATCATCATCATCATCATCATCATCATCATCATCATCATCATCATCATCATCATCATCATCATCATCATCATCATCATCATCATCATCATCATCATCATCATCATCATACATGTCAGCTAGAGATGGTAAAACACCTCCGCTATTGTACCGCAATACATAAAGGATATACATACATACATACATACAATACATAAAGGAAAAATAAATACGACAGTTGAATGACAGTTGAATGCCAGCCGAGCTACCAGCAACGGATACGCATCGTTCCGGTAAGCTACTAGCCGGCTACTAGGCAAAACCAAAAAATTTAATTACGTTTTACCCTACGAAATAAGATCGTAGATGGAGGGGGAGGCTAAAGGGGATGGGGAGGGACAAAGAAACTCACAGCAGGAACGCCACTGAGGTCGGCTCCTTGCCATATCAGCAAGTGTATCCAGCCAAACGTGTTCACCGTCTTTTGGACCCCAACCAGGGAGCCGTGAAGCCCCAACTGAGGCCAGCTCCGAAGTGAGGGCCTTCATTCCTCTGGACCAAGTCATCGCTTGGCCACCTCTCCTCTTCTTCCACCCACATCCCCGGTGAGCAAACAACGCACGCCGAGGGAGTCGGTGGGCTGGCATGCGCAACACGTGGCGCAGCCATCGGAGCCTGGTGCGTGAAATCACGGTGCTGAGCGGTTCATTCCCTTTTCCTAGGCCGTAAACAAGGCGTCGAACACGCTCGTTACTCACGCGGTGTTCCCACCAGATGTGAGCCAAACTGCGAAGGCACCGATGGTCGAACGTAAGTAGCCTCTTCTTGTCCGCCGATCTTAGGGGCCAGGTTTCGCAACCGTACAGTAAGGTCGAACGTACCGCTGCATTGTACACTCTACCCTTCAGGGCGAGAGTAATGTCGCGCCGTCGCCATAGGTGGCGAAGGTTAGCAAAAGCACTTCGAGCTTTCGCTATGCGGTTCGTGATCTCGTCTTCGATCCCAAGGGCGCTGATACGACTTCCCAGGTAATTGAATTTCTGAACGACTTCTAGCTGATCCCCACCAAGGGTCAGCACAGGGGGCGAACCCTGCCAATCCTGGAGGAACGCTTTGCACTTCGGTGGTGCAAAGCAAAGCCCGAAGCGACTGACAGCCAGTGCTAATCTGTCCAGCGCGGATTGACACGTCTGGGAGCTGTCACAGATGAGGGCAATGTCGTCTGCATACTCTAAGTCAAGAAGTCGTTCTCCTGGGAGTAGCTCCACACCTTCCAAGTCATGCCCTGTAAATGCAATCTCCATGACTTCGTCAATAGCGAAGTTGAACAGGAAAGGTGAGAGCGGGCATCCTTGTCTCACACCGCTGGAGATATTGAAGGGTGGCGACAGCCTGCTGTAAGCCCTTACTCTGCCCGTGCTACGCGTATATAATGCTTGGATAATATTTACATATTTCTCGGGCACACCTTTCCTGAGTAGACAATTCCAAAGGGCACATCGATCAACCGAAGCAAAGGCACCTTTGATGTCGAGGAACACGACTACGGTGGGCCGTCAATATGTGTGACGGTGCTCCAAAAACTGACGCAAGGTGAAGATGTGGTCGATGCAGCCACGACCCCGACGAAACCCGGCTTGCTCCTCACGAATCTGGCTTTCACGAGCGCCAGTCAGTCTGTGGAGAATTATGGACGCGAGTAATTTGGAGGCGATGGAGATCAGACTGATTCCTCTATGGTTGCCGCATTCCGAGCGCGAGCCGCCTTTGAAGATGGGAACAATAACGGAGCGGCTCCAGTCGGTTGGGACAGTTTCCTGCTCCCACAGTTTCACTAGTAATTCATGCAAAGCATCAACAAGAGCAGAGCCTCCAAATTTGAAGAGGGCTGGAGGAAGATCATCTGGTCCCGCGGCTTTGTTCAACTTCAACAGTCCGATCTCACGTTCGACTTCTGAGCGAGAGGGTGGATCCAAAGGGACAGCCCACGGAGCGGGGCGATCAGTGACCGGCGAATCGAACAATTCTTGCCGATTAAATTGCTTTTCAAAATGCTCAGCCCAACGCTCCAGACGTTTTGACAAATTGTGGAAAGGCTGTCCACTCTCGTCACGTATAGTTTCACTAACACCAGGTCTCCTGCTGCCCGTTTCCCGTATCAGACGGAATAACTTACGATGGTTGCCAAGGGCAGCGGCCACTTCCATCTTTGACGCACGATGAGACCACCAAGATTCGCGGTCTCTCTTCAGGCTAGCACGGAGTTTTGCCCGGAGCTCTTTGCGAGTTTCATTGTGCTCGCTTCCAGCCGGGATTTGCCGGCGAGCATCTATAAGTTCCAAAGACTGCGAAGAGACCCAATGTCCATGTTGTCTATTAGACATACCACATGAGGATTTGCCTGCTGCTAGTAAGGTCTGGCGAACATGTGACCAGTGACCATCAATTGTCTCCTGTGAGCGCTTGCTATAGCTGAGAACAAAACCACGAAGATGTCTTTACAGTCCAAGATGGAATCAAACATCAAAAACGCGGAACTAAAGCTCGTCCTAAGTAGAGTAGCGCAGCTTGAGCAACTGCTCAAAGAAAAGAAATGCTCACAAAAGCTAGCATCACCGGAACGAAACAAGCTGCCTGCTCGCAATCGCTGCCTGGTAATCACAAATGTCCCAGAATCCAACAAACGGACTCCAGCTAAAAGGATACTCGACGACCATGCCTTCCTTAAATGCATGGTCTCCATATTATTTGATGAGGGTGAGCAAGGGATAAACTTAATCTCTGCTTTTGCCTCGGCAGAAACCAAGAGGACCAAGCCAAGTTTCGTTCTCTGAAAATCGTCTGTCAGGATAAAGAATGCCAACACATCCTGCGACGGACTCCGCGCCTCATTGGAGAAACCTACGTTCTGAAAGTCGTCTCCCCGGAGGACCGAGTCCGAATGAGGCGAGCTGCGAAACCGACGAGCAAATCGACAAAGAGACCTACACATAGTGGACTTTCGCGTAGTCCAAAATATCAGAGA